GTTTTTACAAAAGTTATTTAAAATTAAATTTCCTACAATTCTGCTTTTTTTTGTACGATCGATTTTTTTCGATTTATACCCGAAAAGAGGGGGTGAATTTTTGGTTATAGAATAACTCGTTTATTTTCAATTTTACGAGAAAAATTGTTATATACAAAGTTGTTTAAAATTAAATTTCCTACAATTCTGTTTTTTTTTGTACGCTCGATTTTTTTGTATTTATCACTGAGAAGAGTAGGGGTAAACATTTTTGAACATCAGCAAAAAAAAAAACAAACAGAAAAAATAATGGTACAACATCAATAATAAACGTGACAATACAATACTTAGGTTCACCCCCACTCTTCTCAGGGATAAATACAAAAAAATCGATCGTACAAAAAAAAAACAGAATTGTAGGAAATTTAATTTTAAACAACTTTGTTTATAACAATTTTTTTTGTAAAATTGAAAATAAACGAGTTATTCTATAACCAAAAATTCACCCCCTCTTTTCGGGTATAAATCGAAAAAAATCGATCGTACAAAAAAAGCAGAATTGTAGGAAATTTAATTTTAAACAACTTTGTTAATAACAATTTTTCTCGTAAAATTGAAAATAAACGAGTTATTCTATAACCAAAAATTCACCCCCTCTTTTCGGGTATAAATCGAAAAAAATCGATCGTACAAAAAAAAGCAGCAGAATTGTAGGAAATTTAATTTTAAACAACTTTGTTTATAACAATTTTTCTCGTAAAATTAAAAATAAACGAGTTATTTTATAACCAAAAATTCACCCCCTCTTTTCGGGTATAAATCGAAAAAAATCGATCGTACAAAAAAAAAGCAGAATTGTAGAAAATTTAATTTTAAATAACTTTTGTAAAAACTATTTTCCGTGTAAAATTGAAAATAAATGAGTTATTCAAGATACAAAAAATAACCCTTTAAATCAAGATGGCGGAGGTAACGACAACTTTGGAATCCCAACTTTTTGAATTTAGACTATCAAAGACCCCCTCCAACGAATTCCGAAGGAAAATTGCTGCTTCGAATTTTTCAGAATCTAAAATACTAATCCGATTGGGCTATAATAAATAAAATTCAAATTAAATGTTTGTTGGTAAATATATTTAACAAAAATTATCTTACATGAAAAAGTTGTTAGCCTCTCATATTACGATTTACAAATTAAATAAATTCATACAGTTTTTGTTACCATGTAAAATCATGAATGTATAAAAGGTTTATTACAAGTTTAATAATAATTTTAGTCCCTAAAAATGTTTACGTTCAAAGAATTTAGCTGTTTCAAAAGCGCCCACCAAAATGTGATCAAATCTGCATATTTCTTTAGACCTCCGGCACGATATATGTGCCTAAAAGTATTAAAATATTCACTTTACCACCATTCCATTTAGCCCTTTTCATATGTTCCTTTTATAGATCGGTATTTATCTATTTTTAATCTATATTTAAAAAGTAATAAAATAAAAACGCACACACCTTCCACATGAAAGTAACGTTTAATACGGACTTCCCGTATTAGTAGTGCTACGTGGTGAGGACACTTCGCCTGTTACCCCTCATTGAGTCCACTAATATACGGGAGGTTTTCGTAACAATGGGGTACGTCGTAAATTATACCAGATATTCTATACAATAATTCGGTAATATACCATGAAACATGAATGGCGGACATTACTATTGAAAATTTACAAAAAATCTTGTAGATGCTTTAAAACACACTGCATATAACTATTTTGGATCCGCTGACACTTAAAAAATTGTTTTTTTTTTTTTCAATTTAAAATCATCAAATTGTGTTGTTCCCTTTCGACCATAAAAAAATATAAATTAATTAATTTCAATTGATTTCTTGTTATACAAACGGCTAAATAATAATATTAGACAATCCATATAGCAATTAACTATATAAAAAAACTTTCATAAACGTTTACAATTCATTACTTTTTGGTTTTTAAAATTCTGAAATAAAAATAATAATTTTTGTTTATGGATCATATGATAATTGACATTTCTGTTTCTGTAAATGTTGGGTTGTCAAATATAGAATATGCACATACTTTGATTACTATACGGGGCAAGAGAAAGACCCGACACCCGAGGCCATTTTGAACCCTATGACACAGTTTATAGCTAAAGAATCAGATCGCTCTCTCTGCGTCGGCACTTTTTATCTCAATGTTTCAGTTTATACACTGCGCAACTCAGATAATACAATATATAACAACCGCCTATAATAAAACAGCAGTCTTCTGCGTATCCTGAATTTGTATTCCTGGAGTGGATGTTATTTTGGAACATTCAACTGGTCGGAGTGAGCTAATTGTTTCTTTAGCAATAAACTGTGACTCCAAAAATAATATTCACTGACACTGACAGCAGCAAGCAAAATATCAGGTGCGTTTTAATCATCCGCTTCTGCTTCCGGAATTGTCGGTTCAGTCGTTCTAACCTGTCAGATTAAAACAAGAAAACCGACAATTCCGAAGCAGAAGCGGATGATTAAAACGCACCTATTAAAAATATTGCGCCAAGATGTAGGCAACACATAATAAGGGTTTAAAATGGCGGAGTTTTCTATCTCCTTTTAAAAGGCACTCAGAAAGCTGCGCAGTGCGACCATTCTCCGTATAGTAAAAGAAAATCAAAATATGTGAGTATATGACCGGAATGACAGTGGCTGTTTGGAAATACTAGCGTGTGGCTGGCAGATGAACTTGGCTACCGAAGTAAAAATATTTGTAGGAATCTTTTTAATTTGAGGTGTGTCCAGGCCATTGAGTCTATAACGGTCGGCGTAGCCAGGTATAAACATTTTATTTTCTGGTATCGGCAAAGCCACGTTTGTTAAAAGTAAGGAGCCAGGTTACGAGCCGGCACGACGCTAGTGTTATAATTTTTTTTTTCATTTTATGTTCAAAATTCAATGTACTTTGAATTTTTTTTTCGCAGCAACCTGTGAGGCTGTGATTGCATAGGTTAATTAGTTTTTTTATTTTTTCTCATTTTATGTATAATTTTTTTGCGAAGCAATCCGCGATGGCTCCAGGCCGCACAGATTAGGTGAATAATTTCTTTATTTTTTGTTAAAAATGCGTAGTACTTCGCGATAGCTACAGGTGCTGTTTCGTTCTTGGCGCGATTTTATGACGCGTTTTATACAATATTTCTGATATCGAAAGTCGCATTTATTTTTGTTTATCCAGAACAACGCATGACACAGGTAAAAATGACAATGTTTAATAATGATTGAATTGATCTGGCAACATTGTATTTTTTTATATATTTTTTACATGACAGACGACAGTAGATAAAATGTTATTCCGATGTCATCAAATGTTTTTAAATTTTGGAAAACAAAAATGCAATAAGCGTTTACGAAAAAAGTTTTTATGGTTTATTGCTCTATGGAGAGTCTAGTATTATTATTTAGCAGTTTTAACTACAAAAATCAATCAAAATTATGTATCTAATTCGTGTTTTTACAATCGCAATTTGATGACAAATTTGGAAGTTTAAGGTAAAAAACTAATTTTTAAGCGTTTCCAGAGCAAAAATTTTACTTAAAGGGTTAAAAATAGTCTAAAAAACAAAAATTTGGTCACATAATATTAAATAAATTATTTTAATAATTGCAAGTACTAATAGTTGTTTAGCATAATTAATTGGAATAGTGTTATGATTATTATTTGTTTTAATTAATTTTTTACATAGCAAACAAGTATTGATACCTAACCTCTCAATCATCACACTTATTTTTCCTTGTTGCGAACTTACATGACACTTCAACCACCTTTTTAATTGCTCACAACTATGTGCTTTCACAGAATTATAAAAAAGTGAATCTCATCAACGATTTTTAGTAATAATTGATTTGTCTGGAGAGATAATATTGCTTTCCAGCTATTGTTGATCAAAACAGTACAAAAATTTCAAATTGCCGTTATTTTAATATGGCGGCTGCGCTAGCGCTCATCACATGATGAAAAGGCTTATTGAAACACCCTGCATCTTTGAAGCAAAGCATCTGCGGCCCATGTTGATATGAACTCTTTATTTTATTTTTGAATAATGAGTCACTCCACGAGCGATGTCATATGTGTTTTGAAACACCCTGTATACTTATTTGGAAATAGTTTTATTATTAGCCTTATAATATTCAGCATTTATGAGTTATTCAACATATTTTTGTAAATATCTTAAAGATAATAAACACTTTATAAATTTAGCATTCATGCTTTGTGACTTACGCAATACATTTTTGTAAATGTCTTGAGGAAAATAAATACTTTTTAAATTTTAGATATTTTTTTTTTTATTTAAGAAAGTACCTATTGCAATAATAATTTTTTTAATCCGGCATATCTATTTTATTCATTCCTTTTTTCGTATTTGAAAAAAATGATATATCGTCGCCTTAGTAACAAAACCGCGTATCTCCACTTTTAGGTCAAATTGACCTTTTAATGCCATCTAATAGAAAAATATCAAACCTTACTAGTCTAAAACCCACGTAACTGCTAGAACAATATTTCCCGCCTAAAAATTTGGTCAAGCAAATTACGTATTTCCATGTGTCAAATTTAGATTAAGAAATTCGCTTAACTCCTAGTTTGCCTAATATTTCAACAGTGTGTGCATGTGCTCGCAAGAATTCAATAAGTTAGTGAAGAAGTATATTCATTTTTGAACAAAAAACTTATTTATCGTCAAGGTAAGGTCATTGTAGTATTTTCAAAAGTTCGATTAATCAAAGAAATATATTATATTGGTCTATTTTGTGACTTTTTTACCGGTTATGGACATACGCGCTTTTCCAACTTTACTTAAATATGTTTATTGTGTAGTTACGCGTTTTTCCATTTAACTAAAATTGATAAATAAAAAATGTAGATACATTTTTCTCCTTAATTTTAATGGTTATAATTTATTATAGACAAATAACTTAGTTAATTGCCAATTTTAGAATGTCATTTCGAACAAAACTCATAATGGATATGGTTAACCAACAAGCAAGCGATTCTTGTGTGGATACTGTCGAATACATAATTGGAGAAGATGGAACTTTGTCTCCGATTTACACACAATTGCCTAGTAGTGTAAATGAACCTATATTAAATAATATTAATAATGAGGCTCCACAACCGAATATTTCTAACAATTATAAACATATAGAATTGCCAACAGACTTTAACGATGCTGAAAGCATAAACAGTGAACCAGAAACTATAATAATATTAAAAAATAATCTTGAGGCTCCACCGCCGAATATTCCGACCAGTTTTGACCATTTAGATTTGCCGACAGACATAAACGATGTTTTTAGCATAAACAATGAACTTGAAAACCCAGAAAATCCAGAAACGGAACAGGACAAAAATGGCGACTCCGATAATAACATCACGAATATTATGTCATTTGAACACGACGACTTGGATGTTTCCTACGTTCCTGAGGAAAACGAATGTGGTAATAGCTCTGCAGATGAAGATGATAACAGCGGAAAAAACGAGTCTGATAGCAGCCTGAATAATACAAAAATTCAAAAGAAGAGAAAATATTCTGAAGGATGGAATTATAATATAAATAAATATAAACGATTAAAAGGTCAGCCTTACCAAGGCAAAAAGGAAATTGCAGGTTGTTGGAACTACAACATAAATAAACCAGGTAAAAACTTAATATTATTATTTTGTAAAAAAATCAAGATTTATTTTTTAGGTAAATTTTTGTCAAATCCGTGCAACTGTTCCCTCGGTAAAAAAAGTGTTGCTATCCAATGTCAAAAAATGACGGAAGAAAAACGTTTAAAAATTTTTCAAACATTTTGGAGTGAGAGGAAACTACATGTACAGACTCTGGTGCAATGTGAGAATGTTAAAAGAAGAAGAGGGCAGCAAGAAGTATCGACAAGAAATTATTCTATTAAATATTTTTTAAAATTGGATTTGGAAAGAATAAGGGTTTGCAAGCATATGTTCGGAAGTACATTAGGGTTAAAAGAAACAATGGTACTGACTTGGATAAAAGAATTTAATCGCGAAAGTCATAACTATCAGGTTAGCAAAAAAAGCGAAACAAGGAGGACAAAATTTGCAGATAAAAATAAGGCTGTGTATCAATTTCTCGAATCGTTACCAAAAATGGAAAGCCATTATTGTAGGTCTTCTTCAAAAAAAATTGTATCTTGAGCCACTTTGGCGTTCAAATGCCGCCCTGTATAATTTTTTTAAAAAAGAATATTGCAACGAACGTAATTTGGAACCTCCATCCATATTCACGTTCATGAAGATATTTGAAAAGCTGAATTTGTCACTTTACCTACCAAAAAAGGATCTGTGCGACGTGTGCGAGGCATACAATACAAAAAACTTATCTGAGGAAGACTATAATATTCATCCAACTTTAAAATTAGAGGCACGTCACGAAAAAGAAAAAGACAAAACTACTACCGACGAAACAGTTAATGTTTATGCAATGGACTTACAGAGCGTGTTATTGAGTCCTAAATCAACAGTATCTGCAATGTACTATAAAACAAAACTGGTAGTTTATAACTTTACCATTTATAATCTTAAATCCAAAGAAGGATTTTGTTTCCTGTGGAATGAAAGTGAAGGAGGCCTGACTGCAAACGAATTTTCCGCCATAATTTCCTTTTTTGTTAAACAAGAAATAAAAAAGAGTGACGGAAACTTACGTGAAATTATATTTTTTAGTGATGGCTGCACGGATCAAAACCGCAACTCAACACTGGCTAACGCGTTCGTAAACTTAGCTGCCCAGCATAAAATCGTTTTAACTCAGAAGTATTTATTCAAAAGACACACTCAGATGGAGGTGGACTCAATGCATGCAACAATTGAACGACAGATTAGAAATCGCAAAATGAACCTTCCCGCTGGCTATGCTTATTACTGATAAAAGGCAAGATCAAGTCCATCTCCATATAACGTCAAGTATATCAATCATTTATTCTTTAAAAAATTTGATGGTATAAAATTTTATACTTCAATACGTCCTGGAAGAGTCGCTGGCGACCCCGTTGTCACTGACATAAAGGCCCTAAGGTATTTACCAAACTGTGAAATCCAATTCAAAATGAGACATACCGATGACTGGTGCACATTAAACCAAATAATAAATAAAAAAACGGTTCCATGTAAGTATGACGATTTTCCATCTGTGTATACAGAACGCAGAAAAATAAAAAAGGAGAAATTCTAAAATTAGGACTTCTAGAAGATTATCATCAATTTTTTGATGACCTTCCTTATTATGAATAAAATCATTCTTTTGTAAACTTACTTTCGTTATGAATTTCATTACTGTATGTTAAATACGTATTTTGTTTAAAATAAGATAGGTTTTGTTTAGCTTCCTTGTATATATTATTTATAAAAACCACGTATCTCCAATTATTATTTAGATTTTTTTATAAGAAAATGGCGTAACTCCTTTTTCAATTACAAGAATTACATAATTTTATTATTTTTACCAAAAATGTTAAATCTGAAGTATTTTTCTCTATTTATGAAAGATTTAAAAATTTTATCACCAATAGGGCGGTTACAAATCGTTTTTCTTTTCTCCTGTAAATTTTACTAAAATAGAGTTACGCTGGTTTCTTACTAAGGCGACGATATTACGTAAGTATTCATTGAATTATAAATATCAAAATATACGACCACAGCACAAAAAAATTTAAGTTCGGACCTGCTCGAGACGCCATCTTGTTACCATCCTGATGTCAGTCTAGTAAAACCACATTATTTTGAATATTTGTATGGTATGTCATCTTCTCTCCCTACTAACTCGATGGGTAGGTAGGTACTATTAAAAGCCATTATTGAATAATTTACAATATTATTTTTTTTGTGTGTCATCGGCTTCAACTACCAGGGTTATTTCGCCTCGTGTTTTGTGTAGGCTTTGTCACTGTTTCCCAGCGCCACTTAAGGAACAGCACTGTTAATTAGAACCCAACAGTGAATGGTCGAGTGGGGAATCCTACCAAGGCATCAGAATTAATTTTAAATAATTAAATTAAAAAAATACCGGCCAACGGTGGGATTCAAACCTGGGACCTTTGGATCCACAGGCAGAGACTCTACCACTGAGCCACCCATCCTACACAATATTAAAATTGTTTTTGTGATGATTGTATGTACATAAATAGCAAAGCAATGGCCCATAACTGCCGGTTGTGTGGATGACAGCGGCATGATGGGATCGATGATGGCCTATCATGGCCAATCGTGTATTGGATCCATCAAATTCAAAGAAAAGTTGCTTAGCGTTGACTTTTTCCGTTTGTTTTCTTTTGGCAATGCAATATTATATTTTTAGACATCTATAACAATAATATGATCCCTTTTCAAGTATATTCTTTGTCTTCATCCTATTGTGCTACTTCTGATGTAGGGATTTCGGTCACGTGACCGGATATTTGTGCTTTTTAACGATATTCGGGACATGACTTAAATCCGTTTTTTCTGATTCTATAATGGTATTGGAAGTATTTTTTGTATCGGGAAAAGGGTTGATATAAAAAAAAAAAAAAAATTAAACGTGACTAAAAGTGAATTGTTTTTTGAAATAGGTGTAAAATCGGAACCAGAAGTGGAAAAGTAGTTTATTTGCACTCAAAATGTTTGTATGATTTTTAAATAAAAGCATTACCCTTGCAAGCATTTTATATTAAGTAGATTTTCCTCATTCGCCATAAATTTTGACAATTTTGATCGAAAACCAGGGGTGAATAAGATACTGAATAAGGTTGAACTATTGAATAAAAAATGCTTATTTGAGAGCCACACAAACATTTTGAGAGCAATTTAACTACTTGTCGACTTTTGATTCCCATATTACACGTATTTCAAAATACAGGTCACTTGTCGCCAGGTCCCATTTTTTTGTCCATCAACCCTTTAGGCGACAGAAAAAAATGCCTGCAATATCATCCTCGATTCAAAAAAAAACTCGTTTAAGCTATATCCTGAATTTCGTTGAAAACAATAATTCGTCACGTGGCCAAAATCCCTACACCAAAATTAGCAAAACAAGACGAGAGAAAATGCCTGCAAGGCGTCTATAAACATATTCCATTGTCAGCGAAAAACAAAAAACATGTACAAACAACTTTATTTTAAATTTGACAGGTTATACAGCAGCTTTCACCACTGGGACATATAGTACATATTATTCACCCCTCCCATGCAGTCAGATAAGGGACTAATATTTTACTCGGTGTTTATATATTTTGTAACTTTGTTGATGAATTAAAGATGTCTGTATTTAGAAGAAATTGTTTTTGCTTTTTTTTGGGTACCAACACAGGATCAGGCTAGACTGATAGGTAAAAGAAAAAATGTTTACTCTTAAAATCAACATATTGCAACAAAATTTATATCCTGGCAGTTTAAAAAAATATGATATATCAGTAAACTACATCAACTGTTTATATTTATGTTTCGTCCATTAAGCCTTGTGTTTTAAAAACACGTTGAAGTTTATAAAAAAAAAGAAAAAACTGAGAAAAATTCAAAAGATACAATCCAGCTGATACATAAATTTCTCGTTTGCTATTTATGATTATATTGGCATTTTGTTATTTCATTCAAACCGTTTTGTGTTGATGTATTTTCGATTCTACGCAACATCTCGACATGTTTTCTTTACATTTGCTTGATAATATTGATAAAGAAAATATTTCATTTTTATGAAGCACATATATATACATCGAGAAAATGTTACGGTCGGGAAACTATGAGATAAGCGGGTTAACTTAAGGAAAAGGCAATAAATATTTGCTTTTTTCTTAACTTTTTTTGCTGATAGTAAGCGAATGTAATAAAGATTCCACAAGTTTCTATTTCGCAGCTAGAGGTACTTCGGATATTATGGAATAACATTTATATTTCAAGTAATAACCTTGTTGCACATTAGTTGTTATTGCTTAAACATTTCAGAACTTTTGTGTTTTTGTTCTATTTAATAACCGACTTCAAAAAAGGAGGAGGTTCTCATTTCAACAGAATATTTTTTTATGTATGTTCAGCGATAATTCTTTAATACGTTGATCGATTTCAATGAGTCTTTTTTTGTTAGGCAGTGGGTACTTTAGGGGGGTTCCCATATAAATTTGCTTAAAATTTAATATTTAAATAATTGAGTCTATCCTCAAACTCTTAATTTTTTATGTATGTTAGACGATAATTCTTAATCACCTTGTCCGATTTCTATGATTCTTTTTTTGTTAGGAAGGGGGTACCTAAGGGGTGATTCCATATAAATTTTGTCAAGATGTGATGATGGCATATGCACAATTTTAAAGTCGTTTTTAAAAATTAGTTTTAATACTTGCTACAAAATATATTGGCCCAAATCAAGATAGTTTATCGTCGTTGATAAAACATGACGTTCTATAACAAAAAATTTACAAATTTAATTTATTTTTTTTATGTAAGCAACCAACTGTCCTTCATACATTGCAATATGTATTATGTCAGTATTCCATACCAAAATTGTAATTACAATATCTGGCAGTCTGATCTATGTAGGAATTATTTTGTAGTAGGTACTTATTAGCGTTTTATAAAATTAAAATAATTTTTTCTTGACATATGATTGACAACCTGTGTTATTTTTGACAGGTCTGTTATTTTGTAAACATACAGAAATAACAACCTGTTTACAAATAACGTGTCTGTTAAAAATAAGATTATTTGTCCATCATAACCAGGGTTACCAGATTTTTGAAAGAGATGACGGACAGACAGGGGATTTTAGGGGAAATTTGATACTTGTATACCTAACAATTAAAGATTTAAATAAACAAACTTTTCCAAAATTGAATTATTTAATTGTAACAAAAAAAAAACAATAGGGGCGCATTGAACAAATGTCCGGTATTTCAATACCTGTACTATATGAAAATAACTATTGTCTACCCTACTAACCTAACTAAATTATAAATGTCCAAGACAAATTATATAAACAAAAAAAAAATCACCAATTATTATATAATTTGGGTGATTTATAAGGAATTACTAAAATCAACTATAATTATGTTAACACCTTTAAATTTTAAAAACAACTAGTTATGAATGTCTATTTATATCGAAGTTCAATCATTAACAAAAAATAAAATGTTTATAAATACCGTTTTCTTCTGGTCTGGGGTATCACT